TTTGGGGGGTTCCCTTCTGGGGAAAGGCCCCCCGAAAGGAGGGGGGGGGGGGGCGGGGGTGGTTTTTTGGGTTCCCAATTTAACCTTGGGGGGGGGGGGGCCCCGGGTTAGGAATTCGGGGGGGCCAAGGCAATTGGAGGGGGAGTTGGTTGTTCCTTTGGGGGGGGGCCGGTTTTTTTCCGGGGGAGATTTGGGGACCAGACCCGGCCGGTTAGGTTTTGAAACTTAAAATATTGTTGTCCCGGGGGGGGGGGGGGGGGGGGAGGTTCTCATGTTTTGCATGCCTTATACATGGACCACGCGTCCTCGAGAGGACGGAGCATGGGCGGGGAGAGGAGAAAATGGTTGTTTTCTTTTTGCTTCTTCCCATTTTTTCAGGGTGGTGCTCGCTTGCCTTGCCCGAGAGTTACTTGAGCAGTTACCGCACGCTCCCTGGTGCGTTCCCCATCCAACCCTTTGGACTGCTGTTCGACATTTCTGCAGTAGTTTTCCACAGGGAGTTCAATTTTTTCCTTACAATTTTCTTGGGGGAAGGAGAGGGACGGGGGTAGACGAGCAGCACGAACGCGTGGGCCTTGCAACAATCAAGTTTTTCGCATGACTTGTGGTCTAAAAGGTTTGGTGCAGCACCGACGACAAAGCACTCATGTATGTGCACTGCAGCGCGCCGCGTTATTGCCATTTGAGTACCACACTGGTGACCACAGTACTCGAAGGAACTGGTTGCTTAACCACCTTTGCTGGTGCCCCAACACATGACACGCGGACCAATCAAATGAAACGAATCCACAGGACTCTCGTCGACGCCACTGGTGGCCGGAGAGCTTGGGCGGGGCTCCCCTTGGCGCTAGGACACCGCGGGCGCTCCAAACGGTGCGTTTTTGTTTTCTTCACGGGCTGCGTGTGTCCTCCCCATATCCTAAGAGTTAGCGAAAATTCACAACACGAGGTTTAAAATGCCCGCCCTAAACGTTGTAGCGTTGCGTCTTGCTCAACAGCCACCGATGGAGGCGATTCATTCTTAGTACGGAAGCAACGATCGTCCTATGCAGCTATCGCACGAGACTTTTTACTACAAAAGATAAGAGTGTCGAGCGTGCTCCTCATGCATCAAGAGCGTTGTTCATCGATCACACGTTGTATCAAGATACACACGGAAGCATACATATTTGATTTTGTTTTTGCCCTGTGTTCATTTTTTTATATATATATTTTGAATCCAAACCGAAAAATCATCTGCAGCAGTCCGCAGAGGGAACCAGCGGCGGCGGTGGCGGCGGCGGCGCAACCACCCAGAAGGAGTGGGAGGTGGTCGATGGCCCCCCCTCCTCCATCTCGACCTCCAACACCATCACAACTGGCGGTGAGGGGCGATCGCTAGAAGAAGGAGCGCCTCGCGTAGGCGGCGGGGCTGTATCGTCTGCGGGGATGCTGCACCAGGCGGCGGAGGCCAACGGGCTGATGGGAGGGAACCGTTTCCCGCACTCGGAACTGGATGAGGAGCAGAGGCAAGTGGGTGGAGGGCCCGAGGACGTGATGCCTTCGGCGGGGTGGGGGAAGGAGGGACCGGCGGGAGGGGGCTACGAAGAGGGCATGTTCCCGACGGTGACCACTATTCTGGCGAGCAACACCACGAGCGTCATCGGCAGGTGTGTTGTGTGTTTAATGGCGTGGCCGGCTGACCAATGAAAATACTTCAGCCTCAGTGCGGTTGAAAGCACCAAATGCTTGGATCTGGGACTAGCCCGTGAAGGTTGTGTTGTGTGTGGGTTTACCTACTTAGCATCGACTGCGCGCCGGCTGACCAATGAAAGAGGCATCAGCGCCACCGGGTACAACCGATGAAGCCACCACCGCACACAGCTGCTGACAACCTCTCTAGCTGTCTGATGCATTCGGCTCCCACCAACGCCAGCTGCTGACCAGAGAAACTACTGCTTGACCGATTCAGACACCACCACCAATGCCAGCTGCTGACCAGAGTAACTACTGCTTGTCCAATGGTCTCGCCACCAAACAACAGCTGATTACTGCTTGACCGATTCAGACACCACCAACGACAGCTGCAGACTTAACATAACTACTGCTTGACTGATGCACCTGGCACCAAGCGAGAGCTGCTGACGAAGAGAGTACTGCTTGGCCAATTCACCCGCCGCCAACAACAGCTGCCGGAAGTAAGGCAACTGAGTACTACTGCTTGATAGTTCAGCCGCCGCCAGCAGCAGCTGCTCACGATTTAGCAACAATACCGCTTGACCAGGTCGACGTCTTCCATCTCCAACCCGACGAGGGGCTTCTCCACCTTGTCGCCGCTCAGCTCCGCGGCGTCGAACTTATCCTACAAGGGTGACCGCGGCGAGAGGTCGCCGCTCCCCAGCCCCGCCATGATCCGGCAGTTGGAGCTCGTGAAGGGGCAGCTGACGGACGCGCTGAGGGCGCTCGCGGTGTCGTTCGGGGAGGTTGGGTACTGCCAAGGTACGGCCGTTGTCGTCGTCGTCGTCGTCGTTGTTGTTGGATGTTGGATGTTGGTTGTCTTGTCTTCTTGTTTGTTGTCACACCAGACACGTTCAGAACAGAAAGACGCACAGCTGAAAGGTCATACCCTACACGATATTTTCGTGCACTCGGAGCAACTGAAGCCTTGCCCCCCTATTCATTCGCCAACCAATCCCCCTGATGGACGCGCCAAGTCTGTTCCTATGCCGATCTGTCAGTCCCCTTCGGTTAATATCCCAAATCAAGTCCCTGTGCCCATCCATTCCCTTTGGTTGATACGCCAAGTTTTTTTGCCTTTGATTGACACGCCTGATCAATTCCTACGCCACCCAAAAATTCAGGCCTCGACTACGTGGTGGCCCACCTGATCAAGTGCCTCGGGACCGACTGCCACCGTGGATTCGCGTCGGACCCGGATCGGGTGTTCAGGGTGATCTTGGGCCTCTTCCGGGACTACGGCCTGGAGCACATCTACAGCGAGGACCTTGAGGTGTGTGTTTGTGTTGCTGTCGTTAGCATCGACCACGCTAACCGGCCGAAGAACCAAAAGGCGCCGGGGTTTGTGTGTGTTCTTGTTGTTAGGTTCGACCGCGCCAACCGGCTGACGGATGAAAATATACCGGTCTCAGTGCGATTGAAAACACAAGATGCTTCTAGAGGCCATGTGAATGTTGTGTGTGTGTGTGTTTTTTTTTTCTTATTAGCATCGACCGCGCAAACCGGCTGACCAATGTGTGTATGTTTCAATAGCATAGATGTCACTAACTGGCTTAACCATGAAGAGATGTCAATGTCAGCGGGCATTTTGTTCACCACGGTCTTTGGCCGGCCATCCTGAGTGAGGGCACCAAAGAGCAGCCTGCAGTTCAACCCAGATGGCCTGAACACTCTCTCTCTCTCCGTCTCATACTTGGTTTTGACCTTGCCCACGATGCCGCGTGTCATTGTACCATGCTCGATCTGATGCCCCCCCTCGCCACCGTCTCCCGGCGTAACGCGCGCACTCCCTTTCGGATGGGCTCTGCCGCGCAGACTCTTCAGCTGATGCTTGGGGTGCTGGACCACCTGATCGAGACCAGGTTGCCTCGGCTCCACAAGCACTTCCGAGAGCAGGTGCGGCAACGTTTAGACAACACCGGTTAGAAATCAACGGTTAGGGTTGTTGATATCGACGGGCTCTTTCGCGATCGGTAACCTGTGACCATCTTGCGTTTCCAAGGTAGGGCTCACGCAGGAATAATAAAACTTCCAGTTACGTAAAATACGCCGAAAATGACTTGGACCCATCGCTTGACAGACCCATGATGATGACACCCACATCCCGCAGACGGAGAAAGTGTGTGTATGCTTTCACGCACGTACCCCCCCCCCCCCCCCCCCCCCCCCAAAAACAATTTTTTTGTTCCCCTTTTTGCCCGGAATTTGGTTCAAACCCGGAAAAAGGC